CATGTCGCCACCACTGCGTGCACTACCGGCGAGAAGTGCCAAGGAAAGAAACAAGAGCAGCAAAGCCCAAAAGAGGGACCGCCACCACCGAGCTTTTCACCATGGATTTAACGATCAGGCGAGGTTCAACTCCCCGATGACGGGGAAGATGAGATTCGGTTGATTGCTTTGAGATTCAGAAATCCACGTGTCGTTCAATTGATAGGGTCGTATGATCCATATGCGAGACCTGATCATATAAGATTATTTTCCGGGATGGAACAGTTTGTGCGTTTGACGGTTTCTGAGGCGCCGGATGAGATCTCTAGAGGTTGGAGGCAATGGCACTTTCTCAGCCAGCTCTGGTACCTTGTGTTCTTCATGGGAGAGAACTGGTGCCAGCCGCGGCGGAGTTGTGGAGTTCTCGGGTGCCTTTGTTTGTCAAAGTTTTTGTGTGGCTTGCGTTAAGGACAAGTTGTTTTTTTAGAAAAGAAGGATAACCCCGGCCTCTGCATCTGGGAGATGCATGCGGCCATTTTATTGATTATTCTCGAGGACCTTACAAAGTAGTACAACAATATGCCTGAATCCGCCATCTTGGCAACATCTGCCGCTACTCCAATCCATATGATGAAGGGGTGCAAGTTGGGCCAAATACCCGGACTTCTCACCTAAGCCTAACATCTAAAGCCGGAGGCCCTGACCGAGCCGCATACCGGGTCCGGGGCACAAACCGGTCCGACACACTCACATGTGTTGTCGCCGCCATCTTCCACTGGTCCATCTTTAGAGCAGATTGAGGTGCCAACCTTGGTAGGTGCCTCCGCGCGCCATCGACGCCACCAAGACGCCAAATGATGACCTCCACCTACGCGTGTCCATCTCCAAGCAACTGACGCAGATCCATGCTAGGATAGGGCCGCACCACCACCGTCGCCCACCACCCACAAGCGCCACCCAGCCCCAAGGTTCCCAAAGCAGTGCCTTCAAGAAGGGAACGGCGCTGTGAGCACCGTCGCCGCCCAACAAAGTTAGGGCTTTCGCCTAGGAGACCTAGGGGAAGAGGAAGTGAGGGGACCAGTCCATACCGACGCCTCCAAGGAGGGGAACGACGCCCTCAGGCGTCGCCGTCGACGCGGCCGACCATGGACGACTAGAGATTTCGCCCGAACTAGATCCCCGCCACCAGCAGTGCCTCCTGTACAGAACCGGCGACCCAAGGAAGCGCGGCCCGACAAGGCTATCCTGCACACCGAACAGGGGAGGAGGGGAGGCGCCAGATCGCGTGCACCGGCTACCGCAGAAACCGCCGCCGGCCGCCAACGACCACCGGATCCCGCCGCCCGCGCGGTCGGGACGCCAGATCCACCGCCTGCACGGCTGCTACCCGGCCATGCCTTGCCAATGGAGCCGTCGCTCCAGATCCGGGGTTCCCCACGCAGAGGCAGGGCAACCGAGGCCCCGCCGCCACCATCCTTGGCGCCCCGGGCTTGCCCGGCGGCTGCCTCAGGCGACGGCGAGGAAGGGAAGAAGAGGAGGGGCGGCTAGGGAGGAGGAGGAGGGGCGGCTAGGGTTAGGAGGGAGGAGGAGGAGTCAAAACAGTTTAGGACAAGTTGTGGATGGCCGATTGGCTGGCGCGACGTCTGTTGCCGCACCCGGCGTCTTGCCCGTTGTGCAACCAGGTACAGGAGGATGTTCAACATATGTTGCTCCGTTGCACGTTCTCTAGGGCCCGTCTGGTACAAGATCCTATTGCGAAAAAGATTGCACCGTTTCACTCCCGGTGGTGTTGACACTTTTTGGAGGATTGATGGCCGGCCTCCACAGCGCAGTTTCGCCCTCAAGATCATAAGGCACGTACTCCCTAATTATCGCCACCCTTAGGGTCATTTGGCTTGAGCAGAACGCTAGGATTTTGAACGGAAGGTGTCTATGACGGGCTGTCGACCGCCATGGCTGCGTGTTCTATAGCCGAGTTGTGGGGATTGGCTCGTGCTAGCGGAGATCAGGGCTCCAGGTGGACGCGGCAACTCTTTCTGAGACTTTTTACGATGCATCATACTCTCGTAGAAACTCTGTTTTTTCTCTATCAATACAAAGACATGCGATTCTCGCCCGTGTTCTTGAAAAAGATATCTGGACTTGCATTTGAGTGGCTGAGTGCTGCTCTCTTTTCATCTTGTTTCTCTTTGACAAATTAGGCTTCTGTGTGTGCGTGTGTTCCCCTGTTCGTTGTGTGTTTTGTCGGCAATTCGCCAATTAGCATGTGTTTCCGCGTCCGTACCTACCTTCATGCTGAATACTATATCAATCTCCGATCAGCATCACGTCGGGTCGGGTTCTCCTCTGCCTTTTGAGATTTCCTCTGCACTTTCTCATCTGAAGACGTTGGTAATTTGAGATTGGTGTTTTATCTTTCAGATACAAGTGGAGTGGGTGCTAAAGTATGCAATGTATTCCCATCTAGTCAAGATTCGTTCGATTTACTAACTAAACATCGTCGATTAGAGTGCAACCAAAGCTGAACAAGCGATCTTGAAAACAGAAACCCAAAAAAAAAAATGAAAAGAGTGAGAGGGTCGTATAACTCGAGTTGAGCAATCAATCATCTAGTCTAGCCACAAGTAATGTTTGAGTTCATCATCTAGTCTAGCCACAAGAAATGTACAGTTTACTACAACTACTGAACCACAGTTTCAGATTGGCAAGATGGCACTTCTGGAGCTCCGGCTGTGGCTGAAGGAGAGGAAGGACCGCCGCAACCTCCCTGCTGCCCGGCTGCTGGCTGCGGCGGCGGGGGTGCTGCTCTCCCCCTTGCGGTCCTCCCCGGGAGAAGCGGAGTGGGAGTGGTGGTGGCGCAGGACCTTCTGCAGGGCGAGGTACAAGTGCTTGTCGTTGCAGGAGTCCATGGACAGCGACCTTCTCATCGGCTGCTGCACGTCCAACAACTCTTCCCTCCTCGGGTCATTGCGCTCGTCTCCCATGCTCACTATCGTCGCAGGTACGCCGTCGACATCGGCACCGACGTCGCTCGTTTCGCCCCGGAACGGCGAGTCGATGTCGATGACCGTGTGGTCGGCTTGGAGTTGGAGGACGTTGACGATGTCGATTTGGCTGAGTATAATGTGGGGCTGGGGCTGGCACGCGGAGCCGGAGATGGCGGCCCGGCAGAGCGGGCAGTTGGCGGTGGCGTGGAGCCAGGCGTCGATGCAGTCGATGTGGAAGAGGTGGAGGCAGGGCGGCAGCAGCCGGAGCCTCTCCCCCTCCTGGAACTCGCTGAGGCACACCGCGCACTCGCTCGCCGCCTGGGCCTGCGGTGCCTGCGGCTGCTTGGACTCCCGGTACCGGAGAGTGGGTATCCGGCGTATCGCCGCCTCCTCCAGGCCGCGGCTCGGCTCTGGTGCTGTGGAGTAGACGACATGGTGGTGATGCTGCGTGGCGACGTCGTCCTCGTGGTCGCGGCGCAAGGAGGCGAGGCCGCACCGGGTGAGGAAGAGGTAGTAGGTGAGGAGGAGGAGGCTGGTGGCGAGGATGCCGACGACGGCGACGGAGAGGATGACGAAGCTGTTGCCTGCTAGGGGAGCTGCGCCTGGCGCGCCCATGGTGGTTGGTTAAGCGAGATCGATCGATCGCTCGCAGTCGCAGCCGGCCCCGGTGATGGTTGGGAGTGAATGCTGCGCTGTGGTGGCGGTGTTGCTTGTTGAAGCCTTGAAGGCGAGGATGACCGAGCATCCTCATATATAAAACATTCCATTGACGAGTGCTTGAGAAGGAATCTGGTAGGGATGGTGCCACTGCCACTGCGTCAGTCAGCGACACGCCTGCTGCTGTTAGCGTGTGGTTGCTTGACCTTTCTGGCGTGGAGGAAGGAAGGAGAGTAGACTTCTGGCAGTCGGTGGTCGTGCCATGGGTGGGAAACGAAGCCCGCCAGTCAACACAAATTGAGCAGCGAGCGAGCATAACAAGCAGAAAAAGTGATACACACCCGCTCCAGGCCCCACGGTGTCAGCTGAGAAACGATTGAACGAGAGAAAGAGCGTGCCTGGATCCACAACCACGTGAAGGGAAACAACGCCACCAACTACAGAGCGCCGCATGCTCTTCACCGGTCATCATCGCCGACCGTGTTCGGTGGAGGCTGGCAAGTGGGCCCGTCGGATCATTGCACGCACGATACACCGTGTTTGCCAGCCAGCCCTCCGCTGGTCAACGCGGCCACACCACACTACTCCATTGGTTTAAGAGTTTTCCAACCCACCCCGGCCCAAGTGTGACTGTACCACGGATTGCTCGGGAGTCGAACAGAGAGCAGCTAGCAAGCAGCCATGGTCGGATTTGCCGGCCTATTTTTTCTTCTGCCAAAAAAGACGGCCTAATTGCAGACACTAGCAGCAGCAAGTACAGTCAGTCTAGATTCATTCGACGTGCACTCTCGGTCGGCGCCGTGCCGAATGAAGCCATGCCTGCGAGAGAAGAATTATTAAACCAACTCCGACTCCAACGCAGGACACTAATGATCCGTCCACGTCAGTTTGGAGCTAAACATACATAAAACATGACCCCAGTACGCAGAAGCAAACAGACAAACGTTTATTTTTTGTCCGGTTTTGATCCATTCCGGCTCGAATTGAGGCCGCATTTGCGTTGAATCAGACATGCGCGGATGCGCGGGACGTCTGCCATTGTCCTCCCTTGGCCCGCCGGCCAGGGACACATATGCCTCCTTTTCTCTTCTTCCCTCTCCCGCCGTCCCTACCCCCCGCCATAGTCGTCGCCGCCCATTTCCCCGGTAGACTTGTTGTCCAGTCCGCCGGCCAGGGACACATATGCCTCTTTTTCTCTTCTCCCCTCTCCCGCCGCCATACCCCCGCCATAGTCGTCGCTGCCCATTTCCCCGGTAGTCTTGTTGTCCAGCCCGACGGTCCAAAGCAAGACCACCGGATTTGTGCCTCTCTCACCTCAGTGCCAGTGGCCAACCGGTAGTTGTGCGACGGCAGGATCCAGCCGCCAGATTTGCCGCATCCGGCCGCCAGCGACTGCCCTTGCCATGGATTGGTTGGGTATCAGACTGCACAGCCCCGACAACACTTCCGTGTCGCATGCATGTATTGACTCTGCCTATAGCCGCTCAGATCTATCCCGTCGGCGATTCGCCGGCAAAGACACACCCGGCCGTCGCTCAGGGTCGGCGCTGGCCCAGCGGCTCGTCGACTCACAGTTGCTGCTCAAGAAGCCGCATATCAACAATGAAGACATACAGAAGATATTAATCCAACCACTGGGAGCAGTTATGGACATTGGATATCTTTTAAAATGTCTAGTTGTGATATCTTTTAATCCCACTAGTAGATCAACATTGAGTGAATGAATGATTCAATCGACAAGTTAAGTAAGAAGAAGCAAAACTTGTGATCTCCTCCTCTGTCGCGCGCAATGGCCACCTAACCTTGAGTTGACCAACCGCATCACAAACTAGGTGACGGAGGTCTGGATGGCGTACCATCAATATGCCAACGACCTCACATTTGTGTTGTTGGATGATGTGCATGCCGTAGGGGCGCAATGTGCTTTCACGCATGAAACAAATCATGCACGCGTTGCCAGAAGGGACCCCCTCTTCTGCTGCCTACGAAATAAGCAGATACGGCCAACTACGCATTGCACAACAACTCATTCTCCATGAATGAGTACCCGCTATCCTTTGTACTCTAAAAAAACAACATGGAGTTTGAAAATAAGCTCAATGGCATTTGGCACAACACCTGCTGGGCCATGGACGAATTCGACACGGGGCGGAGTGTACCTGCCTATGGACGCGTCCTGGGTGGACGACACCATCATAAAAGGCGAGCGGGTGCATCGGTGCTGGTTGTAGAGGTCCGACAATGCATGTGTACCGGCCGGAGAGGAACAACGGCGACGGTGGAGGAGGAGGATGGTGGGGATGCAAAGTAAGGGGGAGAAGGGGCGGATTGGAAGAAAATGGGACCGGGAGGGGTTTTGGATGGGCTAGGGTGGTTAGATGCAGGCGTGGAAGCCATCCGGACTCTCACAAAGCCCCCCTAGTTTATCTCCGTTTTGCAAGAAAAAGTGTGTCTGGACCCATCAGCGGATCTATTAAGGCCTGTGTTGGACGGCACAACACGTCAAGACCGTGCGGTCCGGAAGTATGCGGACGGTTTGAGGGTCCGGGTTGGAGATGCGCTTAGCAAAATACATGAACAAAGTAAATGTAATCACAACAGAACAAGAAAATGCTTGGAATAGCATGAACAAACATTTGCCATTCATATTATATCAACCATTTGGATGACACAAATAATCAAAAGTCGGTCCTCTTCCACTCCTACATCCTCTCCTGCCATGATCGGAACCACCTCTACCACAACCACCACTCCTGCCCCCTCTAGGGCCTCCATTAGTATCACTTTTACCACGTCAACACTCCTACCCCATCTAGGGCCTCCATTAGCCCCACCTCTACCACCACCACCAAAACCCCCTCCAACAACACCGGCGTGACTCGTGATAGGATTGCCCTCCTTTGATATTTTCCTTTCTTACGGAATGTTCTCACATTGTGTCTCGTATCATCACATCCATCACAATTGTTAGTTTCCGAAGTCTCCTTAAAATGCCCGCTACAAATAGCTTCATGCCAGTGTATCCAGCTAGGTCATCCATATTGCCTCTCATCCTCTTATGTCTCCTTCTACCCTTGTGCTCCACCTTGCGCATAGGATCGAGCATAAGATTGGGGCCATTATAGTCAGGCCCCTGTGACGGGTCCAAGAAAGGGTGGAATCGAGGAGCCCATGTTTACCTAGTAGCTTTGAGATTAAACTCATGCCTCCACGCGATTGTCCCATCAAATACATGTATATTTCTCGATGACGCCGCCGTCAAAAGATGCGAGCATGGGTCATGATACTTACTAGGCCTTTCGCACACGCACCATTGTCTCTTAAGGTGCACCTTGAATGCACAATCACCATACGACATACCATCTCGTGTTCTCCCACTTGGCTCGTCGACTTGGTACATCATGTCATTCGTATTGAATACAATAATATTACGTGTCGAGGACTTATGTAACATCATCACTCGCCAACCTTTAGTGGATATTCCAGTTTTTACCTACCCACTTCATAGTTTCCTTGGAATACATCACAAGATACTCGTTAAGCTTGGAGAAGGCATATTCCATTATTGCAGTCACCGACAATGGATGGGCACCTCTTAGAACATTGTTGAAACATTCAACCATGTTACTCATCATGTTGCCTTATCTCCAACCTCCTTCCTCACGAGCCCGTGCACACTTGTGTTTCTTAGCAAAATTCCATATTAAAAACTCGTTCCCACTTCGTTCGCAACTACGTAGAGTCTGTCATAGCGAACGGTGAATGCATCTGTAGTGAAGGCCACACAAACATGGGTTAGATCCTTGCTCGACTTATTGCTCTTACATGCTTTGTAAAAGTTTGCCACTAAATGCATGTGCTGGTCCGATATGATGCACACCTCTTTATCACCAATCACATTTTTCCTAACATGACATTGGAAGAGTGCACCATCGATGCCATGACTGTGCCCTTGTATCAACCGGTCAAGAAAGTGCAGTCTATAGACAAAACCGGTCGATGATGCTTAACTAAAGGCCATGATGCATTGTCCAAAACTCTAGAAGGCACGGTGGAACACTCCATGACCATCATCCTCGGCCACATGATACATGTTGGGGTTCCTATGGGCACCGTTCCCAACACCCATGGGAGGCGGTTGACTGCTTCTTCCCAACCACCGTACAACATCCTTAGAGCATTCTCTTTAGCCTTCCATGTCTTGCCATACTTTACTTTGTATTCGAACATTTTTTCAATGTCGCCATGAGGAACTTCACCTTAATAGTTGGATCACTTGATATTTCTTTCATTAATTTAAACCCGAGAAACTCACATGTGAGCTGACGGTGCCTTGGGCTCTTTTTCCAACGGTGGCCTACACATGTGAGTGGCCACACAACTTCTTAACACCCATTTCCTGGTTGGAAGTCCTCTTCCATGGACCATCCACGGGCATCCTTCTTTGTCATAATGGCTAGTGTAACGCACTTTTTGGTCGAAGTGCCCAACAACATGTGGTATATGGTTCTTAATGGCATTGTCACTTAGAGGCTGTTTGGATCGATGCCCTAAGATGCCCTGCCAAAAATATGGTGTTGACCCGGCATGGCCTGCGTGTTTGGATGGCTACCAAATAATTTGTGTGCCCTGCTCTAACTAGTTGGCCTAGTTCAATCTACTGCCATTTATTTGGTGATACATAGGTAGAGGAATCCACCACCAATCAATTGTTGCTCATGCGGTTGGCGAGGCTTGTGATGGCGCAATCCAAACAACCCCTTAGCCACACCTTGAAGGCCTCCTAGCTCACAAACTTCACCCCTTTCTTTAGGCAAGCATTCTCATCCTTGTCCCTTGGTTCGCCATGGTTCGGGCAGGGTGTCGGCTATATCATCCTACTCATGGAACCATAAACTACAACCTTATGGACCAACCTGAGATCACGAAGCGATCGAGTTCTTCTTTCTAGGCATGTC